CTCAGCCTCCTGAATAGCTGTGATTATAGACAGGCATGTACCACCAACGTGGCTAATTAGTTTTTAAACGTATTTTTGTAGAGATAGGGTCGTGGCATGTTTTTCAGGCTGGTCTCGAACTCTCGGCCTCAAGCGATCCTTCTGCCTTGGCCTCCCAAGTAGCCGAGACTACAGGGTATGTTACCACACCTGGCTGGTGTGCCTGTTTTCTAGATGAGGCAGCTGAGGCTCAGAGAGGTTAAGCCACTTGCCCTGTGTCACCCAGCTGGGCCTGCAACCCAGGTCCCTGACTGGCTCCTCCCTGTGGTCCCCCCAGCTTCAAGGACTGCATCCCGCGCTCCTTCCGTCAGCAGATCCAGCAGCACAACGCCCTGACCCGGCTGCGCCTTCGGAACGTCTTCCGCAGGTTCCTGCGGGACTTCCAGCCGGGCCGCTTGTCCCAGCAAATGGTCATGGTCAAATACCTGGCCACACTCGAGCGGCTGGCACCCCGCTTTGGCACAGAGCGTATGCCCGTGTGCCACCTGAGGCTGCTGGCCCAGGCTGAGGGGGAGCCCTGCTACATACGGGACAGTGGGGAGGCCCCTACAGACCCTGGCCCTGAGTCTGCTGCTGGGCCCCCCACCCACGAGGTGCTGGTGACAGGCACTGGTGGCATCCAGTGGTGGCCAGTACAGGAGGAGGTGAGCAAGGAGGAGGTGAGCCAGTGCCTCTTCTGTCCTGGGGGTCCAGGTTGGGCTGGGGTGGGGGTCTCTGCTCCCAGCATGGCTCTGGGGTATCTGTCCATTGGGGTTAGTTTCTTGGAGAGGGTCTTCCATCTGCTTGCCACCTAGGGACCTGAATTCTGGGGTCTGCACCTCCAGGGAACCCCTTTGTCTGGGGACTGGCACCTGGTGTGAGGGAGTCACGATTCTGCCCTCTGCCGTCCCTGAGGGTTAGGCTTCCAGCATGTGTATGTTTCGGGGGTGGGTCCCCATCCCACCTGTGACACTTGGACTTGTGAGGTCAACCTAGGGTGGTGCCTGGGCCCTTTGTCTCCATCCTCTGCCCCACTTGCTGGGTGTCCAGGGTTCTATCAGGGGCAGTGGCAGGAATCTGCAAGCCAGCCTGTCTGGGAAGAAAGCCAAAGCTCACGAGGCAATCGCCCAGCCAGCGGACAAGCCGAGGGAGCCGCCTCGGGTCTACTTCTGTGACTTCCGGGACATCACCCACGTGGTGCTGAAAGAGCGCCGTGTTAGCATCCACCGGCAGGACAACAAGTGCCTGGTGAGGCCCAGGGTGGGGGCCGGGCTAGGGGCCAGCATAGCCTTTGAGGACGCCTGCCTGATGCGCCCCTGGCCGGCAGGAGCTGAGCCTGCCTTCTCGGGCTATGGCGCTGTCCTTCGTGTCACTGGTGGACGGCTATTTCCGCCTGACAGCCGACTCCAGCCACTACCTGTGCCATGAGGTGGCTCCCCCACGGCTGGTGATGAGCATCCAGGACGGGATCCACGGACCCCTACTGTGAGTGCTGGGTGGGGGGCTGAAGGGGGCACCACCAAGGCTGCCAACTAGACTGTGAGCCCTAGGGGCTGTGCAGAGTGTGTGTGTTGTGGGGGGTGCATGTCTTATTTTATTTTCTTTTTTGTCACCCAGGCTGGAGTGCAGTGGCACAATCTCTGTTCACTGCGGCCTCCATCTTCCAGGTTTAAGCATTCTCCGGTCTCAGCCTCTTGAGTAGCTGGGACTACAGGTGCCTGCCACCACACCCAGCTAATTTTTTTCTCTTTTTCTTTT